CGCGAGCGACGAAGGCTGCCACAAACCAGCAGTTGCCCACCTGGCCCTGGTGCAGGTCGTGGGAGCTGATGCCGTCCACAAAGAGGCGGGGGTCCTGGCAGATGTCCTGCGGGGAAGCCGAGAGGAGGCCTCAGTGTCAGTGTAAGATTCGCCCGTCTGTCTCCCCTGCAGGCTGGGCCCCCTGCATGGCCAGTGGGTTTCCCCGAACCAGCTCCCCCCAGTGCTCCCTGGAAGGCCCTCTCCCTTCCCCTGGTTGGAGAACTCTTCGCTGCCAAAGGCGCCACAATGAATGGACACTGTGGAAGGACTTCGGGGGCTGGACCCGGGGCCACCACCTTCCTCCTGTCCTGTGTCTTCCCTGACCATCACCGCAGCCTTCACAGGCCCACAGTCATGAAGCCGGGTGAGGGCACAGGGGGAACACACCAAACGTACATGTGATGAGTGCAGAGGGCGGGAGAAGCAGGGGGCGATGTGACGCCCCGTGCCCCCTGTGGGCATACCCTCAGGCTATCTTATCTGACCCTCACTCTGCCTCAGAAGTATGACATTGTCATTCCATTTTATAGGTGAGGAATGAAGGCTCAGAGAGGGGCAGTGACTTGTCAAGGGCACACAGCAAGCAAAGGCCAAACAGAGCTGAGCAGACACCCACAGAGCTCCCAGAGTGCCCACCTCAGGCCCACCCTCCTCACCCATCAGCATCCTCACCCCCACAGGGCTTAAAGGGAGTGCATGCTCCCCAAGGAGGGCTGGCTACAGTGGGGGGGGCGGGGGGTAAACACTAAGACATACCTTCCCGGCGCCAGGCATCCTGCTGGTACTATAATCAGTCCTCCCCTTGATCCTTAGAGGTGGGGATTGTGCTCATTTTACAGATGAGCAAACTGAGGCCCAGAGAAGTGGAACAATGCCCACCACACAGCATGGGCCTGCCTCCACTTCAGCGGGTGAACGCTGGAGCTAGTTCAACCACAACAGAGCTCCCGAGGTCCTACCGACAGCAGCCAGCAGAGGGTTCCAGAGTCAGGAAGTCAGAATTCAAGTTCTTGCTCCCCACTTATTTACCATTGGCTGTGCAACTTTGGGCCAGTGGCTCAACCTCTCTGAGCCCCTGTTTCCTGCCCTGTGCAAAGGAGGTAGGGGAACATGGGCCAAAGGGCTATCCCTTCCCACTAAGGTGTCGGGGAGCCCTGTAGCCACCTCTGCCTGGGGAAGAGCGGAGCTTTGAGGGCCAGATCGAGGGCCATCACTCCTCTGAGGATATGAGTGGCTCCAGATAGGACCTCAGAGTGACCAGTTCAGGGGCCAGCCACAAAGCGGCTTTCCCAGAGCACAGACTGCAGGACTGCTGCCCCAGGTCGTAGGAACCAGTGAGGCAGCCATCAGAAGTCTCACCTCCCTTCCCGCTGCCTCCTTATCTTATCTCCCAGGCCGCACTCTGAGCCCTGCTCCCTGGGGTCCAGAAGGACCAGCAGGATGGGGGTGGGGGGGGCTTCCTATCTGAATGACCGCAGCCACAGCCCACCCGGGGAGAGACAACTGCAGCCTGGTGTCTCCAGGGCCGGCAGCAGAGGTGACTTCCCAGGCGCTCCTCCCCGTCAGATCCTCCCAGCCAGTGCCCTGGACAGAGACACGACCGCCCACTCCACAGAGGAGGACACTGAGGCCCAGGAGACATTGATGCTCAAGTCACGAGCCAAGTAAGTGGACCAATGGGACAGAACCTCGGTCTGCTGGGCTCCCCACCCAGCACTCTCCTCCCCACAGAGCAACAAAGCCTGGCCCTGCCACCCCAGAACAGGGCTCTGGCTCCAGACTTTTCTGGTGGGGGGCTGGGGGGAGAGACAGACAGACAGACTGAGCTCAGGAGTCAGGAGGCCTGGGTTCCAGGCCCAGCATTGCCCTGACTCGCTGTAGCAGAAAATGGGTCTGGGGCAAATCCACAAGCCTGGGAGGGAGCAGAGAGGAGGCGGAGGTCTGGGAGTGTTCCCACTGCTGGGAGAGTTGGGGTTCTGCTGGGAGAGTTGGGGTTCGCCAGCTCTAACCTAGAGAAACCACTTGAAGGTGGCAGCACCTGGGTCCCAGAGGCCATCTCGGGCACCCTGAATGGAACAATCACAGAAAGTGCTCACAATGACTGGGAACCTGCTCAAAACAACCCAGCCAGAGGGTACTGTTAGCATCCCCACTTCACAGATGAGGAAACCAAGGCACAGAGAGGTTAAGTCACTTGTTCAGAGCCACACAGGAAGAGGTGAACTGAGATTCCAACTCAGGCCGTCAGCTCCAGAGCCTGCAGGCGGGCTAGGGTTTACGAGTGTCAGCGCCACCCTTCCTTCACTGGTCCCCCTGCACATGTCCTGAGCCTAGCTTAGGGGGTCTCACTATGTAACAGTGAGACCAAGGGGTCAGGGCAGCCCAGACCCGCCCCCTCACCACCACAGGGCCGGGCTTCCCAAGGCCCATGCTTGTCCTTCCACCTGTCCTGGGCCATCAGCTGGGCACAGGCACAGAGCTGGACAGGGAGGCTCCCAGCCCACAGGCAGGGCCCTTGACGAGGAGAAACCCGACTGTCACCCTCCACATGAGCACAGCTGTGACAGCCGAACACAGAGAAATCAGAGGAGGCTGCCTGGAGGTGGCAACCCCCGCAGAGCAGGCACGGAAAGCACTGGTGGGCAGGGAGGCTCCGGTGGGGAATGAGGATTCCAATTCCCCCCAAACACAATTGTGCCACAGCCTCCAGACAGCCCCCACCTTTGCCACCATCCTCCCCCAGGCTCCCGGCCACCTGTGTTCCCTTCCCTCGCTGGGGCTCAGCAGGAGCCCTGGAGGGAGGGCGTGCAGGACTGGACCGGACAGGCACCTGCTGCGAGCCCTGGGCTAGCCGGGCTCTGTCTGGGGCACCGCCTTCTGCACCTGCGGTTCCCTCTCAGCCCCTCCCAGCACGTTAGACCAGTTCCACCATCACAGGTCACTGCCCATAACCACCTCCCTCAGCGGCGCAGCAAGAACTTCCGGTTTCCAGGCCCCGTGTGCACACAGGAATGCAGCAGGCAGCGGGCCCAGGGCGCCTCCACCTCCCCTCCCTTCCCCTCCACATGCATTCACCTCCCCTAAGAACACAGCAGGAATCAACCCGACAAGTGGGCAACCGGCTGAGGAAGGAAGCAGGACCTCTGCCTGGGGCAGGAAACCAGGGCAGTGTTCTCGGGGGTTATAGCTTGTTCCCCCCCCCCATCCCTGCAACAGACTTGCCTCCCCACCCCACGCTCCCACAGCAATCCCATGCCCCTGTGCCATGAAGGGGGTCGTTCCTGGGCAGGGCAGAGGCCCAGGTGGCTGGGCTTGGTGCAAACCGCCTACTTCGTGGCATAAAGGGACTACTGTTCAGCACGGCGAGGGAGTGGGGTTCTCCAGGTGCTGGTACGATGGGCAGGAGCCCGGGAAGGGGGCTGGGCACCAGCAGGCCACCTTGGGAGAATTCCGGGAGGTTCCAAAACAAATAGCTGCTTGTAGAACCCCTACCAGTGCCCTTCTTGGTCCCACCCAGGTGCCTGCAGGCTTCCCTGCAGAGATGGGGGGGCAGAGTGTTGGCTAGAGAGTGGGGGGCACTCTGCCTCCTCAGGGATGAGAAGGGGTCTCTATTAAAGGCTCTGGGCCTGAGAGAAAGAAGCACACACCCTTCACATGGGGATTCCCCAAGTCACAAGCTGACGGCTCCTTCTCTCCTCTCCCCAGCCCGTCCCCTGGGGGAGGCCAGCAGGTGTTCACTGAACTGGAAGGAACAAAGAAACAATGAACCTGGGAAGAGGAGAAGGAGGAGGAGGAAGATGTGAGCCCAAGGCAGGTGCCCTGGGTGGGGACACCCTGGGTGGGGACTGAAAGGACCAGGCCCCACCTGTAGAGCCCATTAGAGATGGGCCTTTTCGGGCAGGGCCAGGCCTGGGTCCCATCACAGGGCTGGCAGGTGGGGGAGAGGGGAGACAGTTTGTCATCTGCCCCCCCCCCACCCCGTGTCAGACCCCCGTGTCTCACCATCAGTGAGAATTACTCTCCCCGTTTACAGATGAGGCAACTGAGGCCCAGGGAGGGGAAGTGACTGCTCAAGGCAACACCTCCCGTGAGGCCAAGTCCATCTGGCTGAAAACCAGCCTCTTCACTCCGTTCT